AGCAGACATGTAGCAGCTCTGCAGCAGACACGTAGTAGCAGACACGTAGTAGCAGACACGCAGCTTGTTTTATTCACCTGTATCGGCCATTTTTATTTGATGGTTTCACATTTGACTCTTGTTCGTGGTTCAGAGCTTTGACATTTGTCATGTGTTTATTTTTACCTTGGGTTTAGTGACCTTTCTGTTTTGGGCGCTGTTCATCTCTGAAGTTAATAAACCTGCTGCCTTGGATTTTTTAACAAATGTTGACGCTGTGCTGCTGCCTTTCATGGGACTGAGAAGACAAGATATCTTTTCCTCTCTTATCTATACCAGGGGCATAACAGTCGTTTATAAATCTGATGCCAACTGTCCTTTCAACGAGCAAACGCAACGTCCCGAAGGAACATGAGTGTTTTTGAAACAAGTGCAGGAGACAGATTTGATGTGAGATGAGACTCTGGGCTCAGTAAATCGGTTTATTTTAAATGAACGTCTAGAACAGAAGCGCCTGTTGGAACAGAGTCAGTGGACCACTCTGGTCTTTGAGTTGCTGCTCTGTTTAACGTCTCTCTTACCGTTATGGAGTTGCTGAGCAGTTTGACTCTCTGTTCCAGCTGCTCCCGCTCCACTTTCAGTTCAGAACTCCACTTCATCAGTTTCAGTTTCTCCTCTTCTTTAGCTGAAACAGGGAGTGATAGCAGAAAACAGTTAACGTCACTGCGTCTGTCCCAGATGTTTGAGGAGGAAAAGAATCTGTGGTCACCTTCTTTGTAAGCGATGTAGGAATGAACAATAGCCAGAGTTCCAGGCCAGGGAATGGCTTCTTCTTTTTTCAGGATCTGAACAGAAAAGCTCTGAGTTGTAACAGAGGCTAAAACTTGGAAAAGATTTTAGGAAGACAAAATTTGTGTCACCCTGTGGTGAGGCTGAGGGGGGACAAGCAATGGATGGATGTGAAATGCAATTCTTCACTGACACAATGAATGAGACAGGAGTACAAAAAAACAATACTGCATTATGTACATGCTTACAAAGGATTGAACAGTCGTAAAGTAGAGCTACTGGGCCTGATCGGCCACGTCTGCACTGCACTACCCCGTCCCCCTGTCTCAGGATCAGTTTCGGCTGCTGCGGTTACCTGATCTTGGCATTTTGGACAGATCCACATGCCTTTAGGAATGGTTTTCAGGGGTGGATCCAGGCAGTCCAGGTGATAAACACGAGAACACGTGTCGCACATGAGCAACTGGCCACTGCGTCTGCACACAGTGCAGAAATCCTCATGGATGTCTCCCTGTGAGGAAGAATTGGACCAATCAGTTTCCCCGCTCAACTGAGCCCCACCGACCATCTGTGGAGAGGCAAGGCAGGGGGAGGCGCCGTGATCTGGTTTAGTTTACAGTCAGCCTTGATGTCTAATGGACATGGTGTGTTCATTTACTGAGCCCACAGAGAAGTTACTTGACACTTGGGGGTTAGGATGTGTTCTGAGTTATTAATAGTTATTAATGAGGACACTGTTCACTTTGTAAGACTGAATCAAAGTAAAAAATCAACTAATGACTGATGATTATCACATGGACACAACAAACTCATGGTATGTTTGTGGAGGTCTCAGGTGCAAATGACTGACAGAGCTACTGGGCCAATAGGATTGTGTGTGAAGGGGTGTCCAACCCTCTGAGCTGTCCGTCTCCCCCATCGTTACTTACATCCCCAGAGCTGGGGCTGGGCAGGGGGAGGGGATGGACGGGGCTGGAGGGGGAGGTCGGAGTGAGGCTGCCCAGCTCCGGGACGCTGCTGTATTTGGGTGGGCGACCTGGGTGAAATGAGACAGACAACAAAGACGGAAAACAAAGAAAAAAAGAAAGATGGAGAGGGGGAAAAAACAAAAACAGTCTGTATGACATACCTTGGAAAGGGAGTCTTCGTTGGCTAGCATGAGCCAGGGGAGCAGTAAGGGAGGAAGAGGGGGAAGAGGAGTCAGAAGCACAGACAGCAGTGTTAGTGCAGGAGACTGGCTCCATGCAAGCAGAAGCCGTGCACGAGTATAAACCTACTGAAGTCGTCTGTGAAGCACTCAACAAATGGACTTGTGTCAGATGTTAACATGTTTAATTCATTATAGGCTGGAACCGGGATGTTAGAGACCACCTCCATCACTACACAGGCCACGATAAAGACGACCCCCCCACTGACAGAAGAAGTCCACTTTAAATTTGAGTCAATTTTCGATGTTAAAACCTGCGACACAACGATGCTATCAGCAGCTAACGTCATACACGTCTACAGACGTCACTGAGGACATCAGTGCTTTGACACTTGACCTGATCAGAAATGTTTTCTCTGTATTTTTCAGTCTTTCACCTGCTCATCAGGAATTTCGGTTCATTCTGTCATCAAGACACTTCGACTCGTCTAAACACGCGTTCACAGAGTGAAGCTCAGACAATGACAGGAGCACAAACTCTACAAGGAGACCCGACAGATCCCTTTTCTCTGAACGTACGACAGTTAACAGCTCACCATCAGTCTTCTACTGACAACCTGATTTATCTGGATTAGAATCAACACCATCAAACTTTCATACTTTAAACCCTCAGTTTGATCAAAGTGAGTCTGATGAGTGTGAAGGTGGAGAACGTTTCCTCCTTCGCTCCCTGAGCGTCTGTTCTCTCTCTCTGCTGAGTGGGTTCATCTCCTGAGAGAACAAGTGACTGAGAGTCTCCATCAGCTCCAGGTGAAGAGTGAAGCTGAACTGAGATCAGTTCTTAACAACCAGAGTTTATCTCCAATGTTCAGCAGAAACTTTAAAACATGAAAACAGCTTGGTGGATTTGTTACAGCCAGCGTTTTTCCTGGTTGAAAGCGATGGTGTACTCGGGGCAGACACCCAGGAACCATGCACAGCTCCACGACGTCCTCTTCCAGTCTTCTCATCCATGTTTGGACTGTAAAGTTTTTACTGGCTCTGTCAGTAATTTACTCTCCATCATGCGCACTGCACTACCCCTCTAGTAATCAAGTGGCAATAGCGATCATTTAGTCCGGGACAAATGTCATCACCATAAGTGGTTTCCACTGTACTAGAATTTTGTCTGGAGGCTGCACGAAATATGACGGAGGAGGCCGCCTCGCAATTCTCTATGCAAACCCTGAAAGCTCTTCTGGTTCAGGAAGCTGAGGATCATGGGTAATATCCAGCCTTCAGTTGTTTCAGTTCAATGGGAAGACACAGTCAGAGCTCAACACACTGATGGTCTTCATCTTCATCGCTCAGACTCAGTGCCCAACAGAATGAATCCCTGTGTGAGTCTGCAGGGGGCGCTGGTGCTCAGTAACAGTTACATGCTGTTGCACTATAAAGCCAGAACATGGTCCGTGCTCATATTTCCACTGTATGACCTCAGTAGCAGCTGCAGCCTGTTGATGATGGACGTGTTCAAATCTGACATGGTTTCAAATGGTTTTCATTTTCTTCTGAAAAACCTTAAAGTAAAATGTTGTGAATTATTCAGTGTCACATGATAATCCTAAGATTAGTAATTACGAAGCGGAAAACAGGAAGTGGAAGCTCCTACAAATTAATTTTAGTACTTTGAGGGGTGATATTATAAAAGCCGATCCTTGTTAGTCTTGTTATTACCTGGAGTCGGGTTACCAGTCCTACTCATCACTATTACTTTATTCTGGTCTTGTCTAATTTAAATTTGTCCAATCGAATGAAAACAAGAGAAACTTGTGAAACAGCAAAGTAAAAATCAAAAAGACGGATCTGGTTTAAAAAGTCATAAGATTAACGTTCATCTCTGAGGAGCTTCAGCTGCAAGTGTTCGACCACATTTTTACTTCTTCATCTTCAGTGGATAAAATCACTGTCGTTCATCTCACACTGAATCTACTGATTCATTTCCACAAGTTCTGTCAGATCTAAACAACATTATCAACATCCTTGGTTAATTTTCTAATAATCAACCGATCCACAGGTCGTTTGTTGCAAAACCAAAGAAGTTGTGCTTGATAATCACGGGCTTCACACACAGACACACTGACCTGCAGTCGCACGCTGCTCAAACTAAGATATCACCACCTGGTTACAATTGTGAGGAGGTTGGTTGAGTCAGAGCCTCAGAGTCACTGAAGTGCTCCACAGATTGTTCACGTATGATGACATCTTTCCCTTTCTTACTCGAGGCCCGGTGAGTGCAGTCTTCTCCTAAACGATAAAAAAATACAACCACACCCCTGGAAACAGGCGAAGAAGAACAGTTGTGGCTTGTTTCCTGTTTCAGGGTTGTGCGCTTCCTTCTCTTGAATAATCTGGTCATAGAGATTTTGGATTGGTTGGTCTCTGTAATCTCCCCCCAGATTCTACTGACTGTTCTAGGCTCTGTTCTGTTTCTAGCAGGTTAGAGTCGCAGCAGCGTTCATACGCACCTCTCTTTCTGGTCCCCTGGTGCAGAGGACTGTTCAGGTAACTCACTGCGCTCTTTTTCCTCTGAAAGAAGAGGAGGAGGAACATGTTCATTACACAGATCCAGCTCTGAATGACACAGGAACCATAAAAACATTTAACAGGACAAATGTCTTTCAGTAGATTTTTATGTGGCTGTATGATCCACTTTCTAAAAATCAGTTTTCATCTAAACCACACATTGACTTTCTGCCTCCATGACAACACCTTCTTGAATCTCTTTGTTTGGTTTCCTGATCAGAACGCTGTCAGCCTTGAGTGAAGTCGTCGTACGTACCTCAGGTTCGAACACGGCGCCGCTGTACACCGGGTTGGCCGTCGTCCTTCTCTTTCGCTCCTGTCTTTTGCTCTGAATTTCTGCAAATTAAAAATGTCAGAGTTTGAAAGCAGCAACCAAAACAGCAGCCAAAGTGTGTGTGTGTGTGTGTGTGTGTGTGTCACTCACCTTCCAGGTGGTCGTGTGTTACGAGCCCCAGAGACACCATGAAGGCCAGTTTCTACAGGAGAAATATAAAACACGTTTGTTATGAGGATCTATCGTCTGCGACAGACGGTCCTGTGTCAGTTCATACCTCTGGGTTCTCCTCTCTCTTGGGTCTGGGAGCTGGAGATGACGAAGGTGTGGAGGAAGAGGAGGGGAGGCTGACGACGACCCTCTGCTCCGCTCCACCTCCTGATTTAACAGTCTGCTGAGGAAGAGGACGAGGAAGAAGAGGAGTCAAGTATGAAGAACTAAGGTCATCATCAATTTATTGCAGCTAAAACTTCCAATGTTTTAAGTTTGTCAGAATATCATCTTTGTACGGTTTGACGAGTACTGGGTGGGATTTAAAATTAAAATGATTTATTGTCCATTTCCTTCAGCCTCAATTTCTTTTAGCTTCGGTGTCTTTTAGCTTCGGCGTCTTTTAGCGTCCGTTGTCCCAAACATCAGACATTGAACACACAATGTCTTCTTACCATGGGTTCGGTTGTCAGGCTGGTGATCTGGATCGGCTTAGCAGGAGTCGGGGTAGGGACAGGGGTGGGTGTCTGGGCAGGGCTGGTGAGGCGGGTGGGTGTGGCGGAGACGGGTGTTGTGATGATGATGCCCGTCAGTGGAGTGGAGCCGGTTTTACTGCAGGGCTGCCCGTTCACTATGCGGACCTGGTGGATGGGAGCCGCAGAGGACAGCGAGGACGACAGCTTGGTGGCCAACATGACTGGCCGCTGGAGCAGCTGGGGGGCCGCCATCATAGGTGGGGGAGGGGCCGGGGCAATGGGGATGTTGAGGGGTGTGGCCGGTTTGGGCCTGACCTGGTGACAACAAAAAGCCAATCAGGAAACAGAGATAAAATCAACTTAAACGCTGAGTAACGACACTGTAGAGCTCTGCCTCAGCCATTCTACACATAACACTACTACAAGTACTGACTCAAGTATAATAGCAGTAATTCTACTCTTAACATTAACAACACTACTGAAACAAAAATCTAATTCTTCAGGTAGCACAATTTTGTAGTTTGTAAGTAAAGTGTGTAAATGTAAAGTATTTAAATGCAAAGTATTTGTATGTAAATGTAAAGTATTTAAATGCAAAGTATTTGTATGTAAATGTAGGGTATTTGTATGTAAAGTAAAGTATGT